CAAACCTTCACTCCATTTAAGTTCCTTACAAAGTGGCTTACAAATCAATACAATGGAGAATAAAGCAAAGTTTTATTTTGTATCGGAGGCTGGTGCAGATGCGAGAAGCACCGTAGTTAAAGTGAAAAGAATTCAGCTGCTTGGTCAAGAGAAAAGTTTTTTGTTCCCAGCAGATAAGCAGACTAGTGCTCAACATAAACAGCTTTTTGAAATTCCAATTGTGAAAAATGTCGTTAAAAGCTTAAAGGTACGCAATAAATTTCGCAATGTTGTACTGACTCTATCTAAGGAACTTGAGGATATTTATCTGGACACGGAAGGGAATGTTGTGCTGCATGACGAATATCTGGAAGAGGTCACCTCAGAGCAAGAGTCAGATGTAAACAGAGAGGCAGCAGTAACATTCGAAAGGAAAACAAGCTCTCTGATAAAGGATATAGTGATCGAAAAATTCAACGGTGAAAATACAAATGCGAGTGTTTGGATTAATTTATTTGGGCAGGAATGTAACAGAGTGGGGATTGCCCAAAATAAATACGCCGAAGTATTAAGATTGTTTTTAGAGAAATCGGCATTAGATTGGTATAATGTATTTGTCAAACAGAACTCCTTGCTAAATTGGGAGGCGTGGAATAACGCCTTTATTGATACCTTCTCTGCACAGTCCTGGACAGATATAACGTATGCTTACAACTTTAAGTTTTATAATGGCTCGCTATTAGAATATGCGTTGAAGAAAAGAAGATTATTGTTAGAAGCGGATGATAGCTTGTCTATAAACACACAAATTAACATGATTGTAATTAGCTTACCAAATTTCATCCAAAATAAGTTAAATAGAAAATCTATTATAAATATAGAAAATTTATTGTCAAAATTAAAACAATTTGGTAAGATTAACGAATCAAAAAATGATAATGTAAACAAAAGAACTCTAAATGAAAAAAGACCATGTAGCATTTGTGATAGGTTAGGCTTCAAAAATAGATTTCATTCAGAAAGTGCATGCCGTAATAAAGATAGGCAAATTAAAAATTTAAAAAACGAAAATATCAAGGTTACAAATAATAATGAAATACAGAAAGTAGTAGCAAGTCATGAGGATACAAAAAACAAATAGTCCTCCCACTTATTAAAATTAAGATTTTTGCAAATGGTTGCCCAGCAACTGGCTTATATGACTCCGGATCCAATGTTTCTCTAGTTAGTAGTACATTTTTGAATAATAAAAGAAATATTAAACAAATAATAGGTGGGAGAGATACCATTAAAGGTGTAGCAGGAACGGCGAAAACGGAGGAGATTGTAACAATACGTATTAAAATTTGTAACTTAGAAGAGGAATTTCAGTTTTTCATTGTTAAGGGAGGCTTTGATTGTGAATTTTTATTAGGATTAGACGCAATAAAAAAATTCAAGCTCTGTCAGGATGAAAATTTGATTTTATCACAGAAACAAGAAAAAAAATTTAGATAAGCAAAATAACATTAATGAAATAAGTACTAATAGAATGGAGAGTATTATAAAAAAAAGGAAATAATCTTTGCCAAATCAAAGTTTGATATAGGAACAGTAAAGGATTATGAAGCCACAGTGAAACTGACAGAAAATAGATATATTTCAAAGAAACCTTATAGATGCTCATTTCAAGATAAATTAGAAATAGAGAAACAAGTAGAAGATTTGTTAAATGCAGGTTTAATAGAGGAGTCAAGCAGTCCTTATGCAGTTCCTGTAACCATGGTTTTCAAGAGAGAAGAAAGAAAAAGATCACGCTTGTGTATTGATTTTAAAGAGTTAAACAAAATAGTAGTGCCAGAAAGTCAGCCCTTTCCAAGGATAGATGATCTTACTATACGCGCCAGAAATTGTAAGTTCTTTACAAAATTGGATGTGAATTCGGCGTTTTGGTCGATTCCGGTGCGTGCAAAGGACAGATATAAGTTGGCTTTTGTGACGCATCACGGACACTGGCAGTGGAAATGTTTACCCTTTGGTTTGAAGTCTGCTCCTGCTATTTTTCAAAGAGTTTTAGCAAGTGTGATAAGAAAAAACAAGTTAGATGCTTACACAGTAAATTATATAGACGATATATTGGTGTTCTCTAAGACTTACGAAGAGCATGTATACCATGTAGAGCAAGTACTGCAAGCACTATATGAACAAGGTTTTAAATTGAATAAAAATAAATGTAAGTTCGCCCAAGAAAGGATAACATATCTGGGACACGAAATTGGAAGCAATAGGATTAAACCAATAAATGATAATTTAGTGGCCATTAAGAAGTTTCCCACACCCAAAACAAAAACACAAGTTAGACAATTTTTAGGTAAGATTAATTTTTATTTGAAGTTCATACCAAATCATGTTGTCTTACTGGATCCTTTGAGTGTTAAGAAATAAGGTATCTTTCGATTGGTCTGAAGAGTGTAGGAACAGTTTTAATTCGACAAAAGAATATTTGTGTACAGTTCCTGCTTTGGCAATTTTTGATCCAGAGGCTCCAATATATATTTTCACTGATGCAAGTATTGAAGGAGTTGGAGCAATATTGAAGCAGCCACAGGAAGATAATTCCTTGAAGTCGGTGTTTTTCTTTTCTAGAAAGTTGACAGAGGCTCAGAAAAAGAAGAAAGCCATCTTTATAGAATGTTTAGCCATTAAAGAAGCCATTTCATATTGGCAATTTTAACTGTTGGGGAAAAAGTTCTTGGTATTTACGGACCACAGACCCTTGGAAAATTTCAATATAAAGAAAAGTAATGATATGGAACTAGTGCAGATTTTGAATTATATTTCACATTTTGATTTCAAAATTGTATATAATCCAGGTAAAAACAATATTGAAGCTGATTGTTTGTCTAGAAATCCGGTTTTGGAATCACACGAGGATACAGATAATAATTCTGTGATTAAAACTTCAAATTTATTGAAATTGAATGATATCAAAGAAAATCAGAAATTGTTAAAGATCGATGATAAATGCATTATTAAAGATGATATAATTTATAAAATTTTAAATAATAGAGAAAAAATATGGATCACTGAAGAATTCGGAAAGTCGCTCATTACTGATATACATGTTGATCAGGGTCATATAGGCACAAAACATTTAATTTTAACTTTTGGCCAAAAATTTTATTTTAAAAATATGTATAAACACGTAAGATTAACTTGTAGATCTTGTGAAACTTACATCAAAAACAAATCAAGAATAGGCTGCTTTAAAGCACCTTTGTCTCAACTCGGTCCAGCAAAGGAACCTCTCGAAATAGTGTCTATAGACACAATAGGAGGTTTCAAAGGCAATAAAAGTACAAAAAAATATTTACATTTGGCGGTGGATCATATCACAAGATTCGCTTACGTAATAACTTCAAAGACTCAAGTGGCAAAGGATTTCATAAAATTAATTAAGAAAGTAGAAAAAGATGGGAGTATTAAATTAGTCTTATCAGATCAGTATCCTGGTATAAACTCGGCACAGTTTAAGCAATATTTAAATAAACAGAAAGTAGCATTGGTTTTTACAGCAGTGGATTGTTCGTTTTCTAATGGACTAAACGAAAGGACAAATCAGACTTTGGTAAACAGAATACGATGTAAAATTCATGAGAATAAAAATAAATCATGGCCTCAGGTAGCAGAGGAATGTGTAAAAGATTACAACAACACAATTCACAGTTCGACCGGATTCACCCCTAATTATTTGCTGACAGGACTAAACTATTCATTTCTACCCGATGAAGTAAACGATAATAATTTGACGAATTTGGTCAACAATAGGAAAATAGCTTTTAGAAATTCAAAAGAAATTCACAATCAGAATAAGGAATATTACGATAAGAATGTAAAACGGATAGATTATAAAGTAGGAGATTTAGTCTATGTACAAAGCGTTAATAAATTGAACAAAGATAAAATAGATCCAATTAGAGCAGGTTCTTTTAAAATTAAAGATAAAATTTCTGATGTAATGTTTTTGTTAGATAGTAGATTTAGAAAAAATGAGTCAAATATTTTTCATGCGAGCAAGCTTGTTCCTCAATCCGATGGAGTGTACCCTCGGTCTTAAAAGGGGGGATGTAAGCTTGTAAGTTATCAAGCTTGGCTTTGTCGCCGCTGGTCGACTCGTGCGTGAGAGTCAGTATGTAACAAGACTCCGAGCTGCGAGCATTGATGTTATCGTACGGAGGTAGATAAAGGCTTGCTATCGGCAATTGTATTGATTCAGGTTAGTTTTAAGTTTACTCGTTTACTGTAATATCTCCGGCCTTTGCTAATGTGTACACATCATTAATATTACAGTTGATTACTGCATCTTGCGTGCTGATTCTTGAACCGAACCTTCACTCCATTTAAGTTCCTTACAAAGTGGCTTACATATATATAATATTTATTACTTGTTTTATACAATATTATATTTGCTATACCTACTATATTTACTATACTATATACTACATTATATTTTCTATTTTATGTAGTATATATTTGAGTATTATTATACTACTTTATAATCAATATTTATTTTAATTATTTATTTTTTAAAACTTTTACATTATATATTACTTATTAGATAAGGAGGCCCACACTTGGGGGACGTCACCGTCAATATTTATAATGTCACGATCAATATTTTTTCTTTCGCTCTCATCCTCATCGTCATCATTTTGATTACCGTCCTTATTATTATATTCGTCGTCACCTTCCTCGCTGCGCTTATTCGCTGACGGGTCAAATCGCGCAGCATCGCGATTAATGCTTCTAATTCTTGCAGCATATAACCGGATGGGGTTGCGCGCTTTTCTTAACAGCGATACGATAAGTCCTTTGCGTCAAAAATAAATATTATTGATAAATATCATCAATAAATACACAGCGTTATTTATTTTTGATAAAAAAATATAATTTTACGTTTGTAAACTTACAAGCGATCCTGCATATGAGCGTCCTCGTCGACGCAAACTGTCAAATGGAGACAAAGCGGCGCTCTTTGTACGATGTTAAAGAGTCGATCCTGCAACTGTAGGATCGCTTGGTGGAACTCGTCCGTAGCCGTAGCTACGGACGTTACGTGAGTTTGCATTTGGTCACAAATTGCGCAAAGTTCGTTCACTTTATCCATTATGCCTCAATAGTATACAATAGTTCGCGTAAAAAAATACAGATAGACTACACCCAAGTCTAGCCTCGAGCTCTTTATGTATCGAGAAAGTGCAACAAAAAAAAGGATATTGCGGTAAAAAAATATACTAAGAATAGCATTTTTTGCGTCGAGGAAAAAATGCATCGAGGGAAATAATGCATTTTTATCAAATCGACTCATCCACCGGAATCGTCGACGCAATTTTTTTCCACCCGAGACCCCCCGCTCTAGCCACGACTTCTTTATATCGAAAAAGTGCAACAAAAGGAGGATATTGTGGTACAAATATAATAATAACATTTTTTTACAGCCAGGAAACAATGTATTTTATCACACCGACTCGTCTGCCGGAATCTTCGACGCGTTTTTTCCCACCCGAGACCCCCGCCGCCGTACCTATCCGCGTTGAGAAAGCGCGACAAAGGGAGGGCATCGCGATAAAAAAAATATAATAAACACAGCATTTCTGCATCCGGGAAAAAATGCATCGACGAAACGATGCATTTTATCAAACCGACTCATCCGCCGAAATCTTCGACGCATTCTTTTCCCACCCGAGACCCCGCCGCCGCACCTATCCGCGCCGAAAAAGCGCGACAAAGGGAAGATATCGCGGTAATAAATACAATAAGAATAGCGTTTTTTTTACATCTAGGAAAAAATGCATTGAGGAAAATAATGCATTTTTATCAAGCCGACTCATCCGCCGGAATCTTCGACGCATTTTTTTCCCACCCGAGTCCTTCGCCGCCACCTATCCGCGTTATTGCTAACGAGCGTCCACGCGTAAACGTTCGCATCCGGAGCGCTCGTCGAGATCGCGCTCAAATCGCAACGCGCCGTCATCGCAGTTCCGCCGTCTCTCTCGCTCTCGACGATGTGGCTCGCGCGTAATCGCGTTAACCGCGTGTTTTATCGCCGCGAGGTGCATCAATCCCACAATTACGGACGAAAATTATGCGCTCACGTTCGATTACCTGCAAAAATACGGATATCTGTCCAAAGACGTAGACGCGGTTCCGGCTCAGAGACGAAACAACGTTCTTCGCAAAGCGTTCGAGGATTTTCAGAATTACTACGATTTACCCGGCGATGGAACGCCCAACAACGAAACGCTGCAATTGATGAGTAAACCGCGATGCGGTTTCCGAGATATCCTGAAGCACGGAACGAAAACGAGCCTATCCAAATGGCCGAAGACGCACCTGACGTGGAATTTTCACTTAGCCGACGAGACCGAGCTGAGCACGGCGCGGGCCGCGTTTGACCTGTGGTCGCAGCATTCGGCATTGACGTTCGAACGCTCCGAAACAAATGCCGACATTATAATACCTTGGCGACGCCTACGTCACTATAACACGAATACCAAGGTAAACGGAGCAATTTGCTCGGACAAATTCGACGGTCCCGGCAACGTGCTCGCCCACGCGTCTCTCCCGACAGACCAAGCGGGGTTCGTCTCCGAGGTGCACGTCGACGGGGACGAGCCGTGGCACATTTACATCAATAAACATCCCGCGGATAGGTTCTCCCTGCATTACACGCTGACGCACGAGATCGGCCACTCTCTCGGATTGGTGCACAATAGGCGCAAAACATCGGTGATGTTCGCGATACAGCCGGACCAGCAGTATCCGGTGAAGCTCGACCAAAACGACATCGCCGACATTCAACGTTTGTACGGTGAAAAAAGTACGAACGAGCCCCCGCATCAGACGCCGGCGCCGCCGCCGCCATCGCCGGACCTGTGCAGCCTCGATCGCGTGAACGGGATATTGATTTTAAAAAATCGAATGTACATCTCGTACAAGCGTTACGTTTGGTCGATCGATCTGGACGGTAGGACGTACAACGGACCTTTAGCCCTTTCGAATTACATGAGCTTTCTTCACGACAATTACACGCGCGTGACCGCCGCCTATCAATCCCCGTCCGGCGATCTCGTGGTGTTCGTAGATAATTTGGTATACTTGTTTCAATATCCGGAATTTAGTCTGCGGCCAGGTTGGCCGAAGACCTTGCAAGAACTCGGATTTCCCGAAAACACGGTGAACGCCCACAGAGGACATTAACCTTTGTGGTGTTCAACGGTAACTTGGTGAGCGAGACAGACGAATGCGACAAGGACAAGAGAGTCGCCAAATTTACGCCCCTCGAGGTGACGTTTCCCGGAATACCGACCGGCGCGGCGTGACGTCGAACTTGCGCTACGTCGACGGCAATCTGTACTTCACCACTCGGGCACAGTTCTACAAATTCAACAAATTTACGAGGACCGTCTCGTCGGCCGGTAAATTCGATCTGCGGATACTAAATATCGTCTGCTCTAAGGCCGAACTGTTGCAGCAGTTGCGCGATCTCCTCGATCAAATCGTACGCCTCAATGATAACTCATTAACGTCACCGGCGAGCGATTATTCGGACGATGACGACACCGGCGTTCGGCTCTCCGATCGCCGCATTCGCCGAAGGAAGTAGAGGACCGCGCAAATTTCCCACACCACACCACGCGCGACATAAGTGAGATCTTTCTTACTTATACCGATGTGTCCCCTTAAAACATCAGTATCGCATCGTCGGCCGAATACGACGCGTCGGAAAAAAATCAGAAACGAACGGTTGGCGCAGCGCGCAGTGCGAAATGTTCTCGACGTTGGCCGATCGACCCGCGCCGAGGGGTATTTCCCCTCTGGAGACGGCGGATTCGGAGGCGAACGACAACGGCATTAAAATACAAAAGATCAGTTTGGTGGACGATCGTCATTATCGTCATCATCGTCAGGAGTCGCGTCGCAGCTCTCATCCTCCCACCGACGCGCCCGTCGAAGACGATCGTCATTATCGTCGTCATCGTCAGAAGTCGCGTTCCAGCTTACCCTCCCAACGACATGCCCGTCGAATTGCCCGCGGTGCGCGTCCTGACGACGACGACTGGCTACAAGTACGTAGCCATAGGTATCACGATTAAGTAACCGGGGTACAGTATTCATAACACGCCTTCGTGGATATCGTCCTGAGAGACAAACAAGGCAGGGAGATCTCCCTGACGCTCGACATGTGGAAAGGACTGGTCGAGCGCAAACGCGACATATTGTCGTGCATGGAACACAGTCTCTCCGATGAAACTCGCCCCCCCTCGCTAATGTCGATCGAAGGGATGACGCTGCGATTCGAAGTGATCAACAACACGCCGATCCTACGTATTGAGCTACCCAACTTGGCTCGCGTGGCGATGGTGCTCAAAACCCTGCTCACGCTGTACGATCTCCAATTTTGCATCGATCGCGTCGTCTCGGCGCTGAGCGCGGCGACCGAGGAGGTCGACGCGAAGTTTTCGCGCTATCGGGAGATAGCCGCCAACGCGATCAAAGTGGGAACTTCGGCTCAGACTGCGATACTGAACAACAACGAAGAAAGGCGATCGAGACCCGCGAAACGAATGACCTTAAACGCATTTTCGCGGAACGTCGAGAGAAGCGACCTCGAACGAATTCGAACGAGTTCGGGCGAGTTCGGACGCGCCCGAACGCGCGCGAGCGAAAAAATTAGATTGCGATTTTCAAAACGGTCGATAACAGCGGGAGCGCCGCTCCGAGCGCCCCCTCGGAACGCCCGCGTCCCCCCGCGCAGAGCCCCGTTGGCGACCCTGCGGCACGATATTCCCAATTACCCACCTAGAGAATTTACTTCCAACAAAGTCCCCACAAATACCAGTAAACAGCCGTCGCCTCGCGTCGCGCTTCCTTCCTCGCCCGGCAAATTCTAGTAAATCGCCTAGGGACTTTTCCCCCCGCATCGCCCCCCCTTCGATGACCCTTAACACCGTCCCTCGACCCCCTTTCCCACCGCTTACGGCGTTCCCCCCGCGACAGCGAAGCCTCCGCCAAACTCCGCTAACCGCAACTCGCATGCTTGAGGCTCGGAGTAGCTGTTACTCCCCTACTTATATCTCGATATTTTATAACAAAAGATTAAGTTTACAATAAATGACGTCGCCCATCGATTTACCAACTCGAGATTCGGAGAGTCGCGAGATCTGAAATATGTGCCGGCATAGCCGGCACTGGCATAGCGACGTCATAGCACAAGAGAGAAGGAGACAACGATCGTGTTCTGTCCTTTTTTGCGCCAAGCGTACACGGACAGAGGAGCTTGCATTAGTGTGCGTGGCTATGCCCTTGCGCAGCCTTGCCGGCGCATCCCCTCCACACGCTGTAACATGCTGGTCGGTCAGCACAGCGGCATCACTGGTCGCCACTCGGTTTTCTCTGTGCCCACTGAGAAAGATATAAGAATGTATATCACTGACCCTTACGATGCCCTCGCCATTCCCTTCTATGTTTCAGGTACGCTGGACGGATCGCCGCTGGACTGCCGCCGTGCACTGCTGGACTGCCTCGGGACCTTCGCTGGACCGCCACGGGATTACCGTCGTGAACGCCGATAGGTAAGAGAGGTAGATATTTTGGGATCAAGATCTTTTCGTGTCGGAAATAAATGTTCACTCGAGACGTTTCGGGTAAAATAATATTATATTTTCCTTCTTAATACAATTAATATTCTGCACGCGTAACCGCACTATGCGAGCCGTCAATTCTACGTTCGCGTTGTAAGAACGTATCAACATTAAGTTAATGGTAGCGGATTCGCTCCGTACGCGGGACTTCTCGTAATTCGCAGCTCAGATGATACGTATACACGTCCGCACGGTATCACGGCTGACGAGAGACTCCACGAGTGCTCGCCCTTCCTCGCGGTCGCTCGCGCTCGCTATCACGCGTTCGCCATCTGGGATCACATGCCCTTACTGTGCGCTTCCTATTCTTGCACGCGTGTTCGTTCGTCGTTTGTCGCAAACATGTTTTTGTGTCCCTTACTCTCTTCTCTGGAAAGTTCCTACATATATCGGGTGTCCCGATAGTTGCCATTACGATTTCGCATACATGTATATTCGCCGACTCGTTTTACGCTCGCGTTAATTAATTTCAACAGCTTTCGGTACCGTGGCGTCTTCCAAGTCTCGCTGGCTTAGAAGGCGTCACGCTTATTACGGGGTTCTCCCCGTTGCTGCAATGCCACACGCTCGTATCACCCTTTCTCATCTTCTCGAAATTTCGAGTCTGGAAATCCACCTCATGAGTGTGACGAACGTGTGCCGCTGCGCTTACAGCTTAATTTTTATGCCGATCTGATGGATCGTTCGCTAAGTAGCTTCGCGTGCATTAAAGGATGCTTTTGACCTTGGATTCGCTTTCCCTTGGTCTTGTGTATCTCACTTACGTTTTTATTTTCGCGGTACGCTTATTGGCTCGTTATTTCGCGGGGCGTTAGCCTGGCGTTGCAGCTGATCCGTTGGCGCTGTTCGCCTTGTTTCCCTAAACGTAAATTTACTTTTGCGCATTGTCTACCTTACACGGTTCGCTACTTATCGGGGCGTTGGTCGTACGTCGACGCCGACCTTATAGGGTTGTTTGCTGTGACCTGGTACACCCATTTCTGGAGTTTCTTCCAGGAGAAGACCTTCGGGTTCCTACTTCCCGGGGCGTTGGTCGTACGTCATCGACCTCGGTATTTTTGTGTTCGCCAGGTGACATCAAACTTGCCTACAGCTTTCGCATTCGCGTATCACGCACCGTTCGCTATTTCCGCGGGCAGTGACTCTAGGTAGTTGGCGCCTCGGTATTCGCGTCCTACGGACTTGCCCGAAGCCGATCGTGCCCTTGGCTATCGCGTGGGGTATCCCGTTTGCTACTTCGCGGGGTAATGGTCCGCCATTGACGGGAGTGTGCGCGTTAGATTCGTCGTGACTTCCCGAAACCATTGGTACCATTTGTCCTCGTAGAAGATGCTTGGTTCGCTACTTCGCGGACCTGGTGCGCTATCGATATAAAAATTGCTCTAACACGTATACCAGGTGTCCCGGAGTCGATTCGCGTTGAGTAACGTTTAATTTCGCGTTTATCTTGTAAACTACGCGTTAAATCGTACAATTAGTAACGGGATCTTATTCTTCGGCTCGCGCTGAAGCTATATTCGAAAGTGGTTTTTTATTTTCGGGAATCCTTTTTCCTGAGTCCCAGGAGTGTGTCCATAACCTTAAAGTGTCACTTTTGTCCTCTATTACGCGTTTTTCTTAATCCTAACCTCGCTCGCGTAATGGTGGGTATTAAAGGAGGTATTGTTAAGAAATATAAATTTTTATTTATACAAAATAAATGTTTTCTTGCCTATATGGCGGATCAGTCTTCGCTGACTAGTGATGGCGTTCAACGCCTAAACAATTCGTACGCGCAATATGGCGTTGAAACGGAAACTAAATGCTCTGCGCAATATGGCGCTTAAACACAAACGAACAAACTTAGTATGCGCAATATGGCGCCTAATGAAACTAATTTTTTGTGCGTAACATCGCGCTGCCTGATTGGCTTTCGCTTATGTTTTCTGTCCCGCGGAATGTCGCCGGTAATTGTTTCCCCTTCGTCGGCGCCATCTTAGGGATGGTCCTCTGTGGCGGCGGTGATGCACATGCACATTTTGGTGTGCTGCACCTCCATCGTCAGATCGTGTCTTTGGAGCATCACCGTTGGTATACCGTGCTTCAACCGCGCCATTTTTGACAAAATGGCTACTGGCACCGGTAATGGCGGCTCGATGCAGGTGATGACCGGGCCTTGCCTAGCCATCGGCTGCAAAGGGAGGATTTCAAGGACCAGGGAAGGAGGATTAGAGAGGAGATATAGAGGAGATGAAAAAATAATTCAGGGATCAGGAGAAGAGATGGAGAGAGGAGAGAGAAGAACTAAAAAAGGGGAAGAAAGAAATGAAGGAAAGGTTAAGAAGACTGAAGGAGAAAGTAGAAGGGAGAAAGGAGGAGAAGAAGGGGGAGGAACGAAGCGAGTGAGTGGAGGTGGAGAGAAGGATGGAAAGGAAGGAGAAGGAGGAAAGAAGAAGAAATATAGTGATAAGGGGGTTAGAGGTAAGAGGAGGTGGGAGGAAAGAAGAGGCAGAAAAGCTACTGGAAAGAATAAAAGCTAAAGTGAAGGCAATAGCGGTGAAGAGAATAGGGGGGGAC